GCATGTGGCGTCGTGCCAGTGCAACGAGGGGAAGGGGAGGGGGGAAGAGAGACAGAGAGTTGGGCCGGGACGTGGCAGTGCAACGGCCTGCGGAGCCCATGGAGTGGCCACGAATCCAACATCGGGCAAAAGAAAGAAAACAAAAAGAAGAGAGAGAGAGAGAGAGATAGAGAGAGAGAGAGAGAGAGAGAGAGAGAGAGAGAGGGGCTGCTCCAATCTATTGGTGGGGACTCTGGGGAGCCACACCTGCTCGAATGCATGAGTCCAGCGTTCCATTTAAACATTTAAACATTTAAACAGTTGATTATAAGCAGAAAGCAAGACTTAGCAAGTGAGAAACTGGCTGCCAGCATTGACTGCCCCAGTGAGAGGGGGGGGGGGTTGACTGAGCAGCTTCTAAGAATATTATCATTATGTAATGAGGATTCGCAGAGGCATGAACGAAGGAAGTGCTGGCGTACTGGCGAGCCTCTGCCCTGTTAAGTTTGACAAAATCGGTGATTTGGGTAATCAACGATAAATGGTCTCTGTTTTGATACAAACAGAAAAAGGATGGACCAGATGGCTATGTTAGAAGGTGCAAAATTAATTGGAGAGGGCTGTGCAACAACAATCGCAGTAGCTGGAGCGGCTGAAAAGTCCTGAAAAGTCCTATCCTTCCCGGGAGCGGGTGCGGGCTCAGGCGCTGCATGTGCATGGCTGTCGTCAGCTCCTGTCGTGAGATGTTGGTTTAAGTCCTATAACGAGCCCAGCCCTCTTTTTTGTGTAGCGGTATATTAACCAGTCGTTCTGGAGGAGCTGCTATAACGAGCCCAACCCTCTTTTTTGTGAAGCGGTATAACCAGTCGTTCTGGAGTAGCTGTCGATTTAGCTATTTTTAGTCTTCATTTATCCGGTGTTTCTTCAACAGTGAAAACAGTCCAAATGATTTCTATAATGCCTCCATGAACAATTCTCTCTGAAATTGGGTTTGTTGTCAGAACACTCAGAAGACCGTCACTCCGTTAATTGTCTCCTCATCATACGTCGTATCTGTCGCTGCCGTTGTACGGAACTTGTACCGTTGTACGTTGAACTTGGGAGTCGGATTCGTCGGTGTGCTCGTGATGTTGAAGCATTAGTGTTAATGTCAGTACAGTCGTAACTCTGTTTCGCT